TCCTCTTTTTTCCTTTTCATCTTCTTCTTCCTCTTCCTCTTCCTCTTCTTCCTCTTCTTCCTCTTCTTCCTCTTCTTCCTCTTCTTTTCGCATTCTCGCATGTATATATGTATATATATATATATTTATTTATTTATTTATAATATAGCATATACGCTTCTCTGCGAGAGAGAAATACCAAGTCTCTCGCGTAGTTCGTGTTTCGTCGGTAATTCATTAATACACGTTTCATCTTTCGTTTCTTTTCTCATTATTATAATACTATGAAATTATCGCAGTCGTTTCAGCGAGGAATCATAAAAAGAAAATGAAACAATCTTTCGCCGCGGATTAATGATGAACACCAGGTAGCAAATTTTTGTTAACGAGAAACGAAGTGCCCGCACACGCGCGTCTCGGCGCGGCCCCGATCCCCAATCACGGTTCTCCGCGGATCGTCTCCACGTTAATACATATTTCGAACCGCATAAAAATACTTCGTAAAGATCCCGAAACACTCGCCGGTTTCGAAAAATCATTCTGTTAAAACTCCATTGAAAAATTTCGCGAACACATTCACACGATCAACAAGTAAACCTTATCAAAAAGTTACCGAACGCTCTTAAACTATTCAAGCGGCGCCGTTCGACAGAGAAACTTTCAAAATTCGTCAAAATGCTTTTCATCTTTCGCTATCCCATTGCCAGTAATAAATCCCATAATTCTGCAAACGACAACGCGGTAAGCTCTAGAAACGCGTCAGATGATCCGAGAAGAGGATCGGGCAGTCCGAAACGCGCACGAGGGGCGATAGTCACGGACAAGAACGTGTCTCCGACCGGTGAATGATGCGCGTTACGCGTAGAGATTACATCGATGACGATAAAGTGTAAATGAACAAAACGGTGAATATACGTATATACATATCTATATATGTATATATACATATATATCTATATATATATATATGTATACATGTATACATATATATGTATATATATATATATATATAATATAGTCTTCTGTGTTACGCGCTTGGACCTTGATTCGGAGTGTGGAGCGATGACGAGGACGACGGTAACAACGAGGACGACACGGATTCCCATTCGAGATCTCTTCAACGGTTTCCGGTATTTTTGTTCCTTTCTTTCTTTCTTTCTTCTTTTGTTTTCTTTTTGTTATTTTTTATTATTCCCTTTCACGGCTTTTTTGTTGTTTGTTGTGTGCGCACGTGCCGCGACACGGTGCCGTTTCGTCTTCATTGACCGCAGCGACGGTCACGCGAACGTTATCCCTGTCTGTCCCGAAGCTCGGGTGTCCACTGACGGCAATTCCATTAATATTCGAACGGTCGACGGCCGGCGTTGTTTCCGTTGATTCTCTTCCTTCCGATTTGGTAACTGAAATTATCACGCTTACGCTCGCAAATTCGTGACGATCGCTGGCTAATGGAGGTGGGTATCATAGAATCACGTGGGTACATCGACGAGAAGGGTTAGAAGTATGCAGGGCCTTTACAGAGTTCTATCAGTCGAGGATGCGAGTTCACTCGTGTCTCCGCACACGTATGCGTTCCTGTACGTATCAATGGTAATTTACATGTGTGTTTTCGTGTGTGCCTGTACGTGAGAATCCGTATAGAGACGTGTGTGGCGGTCGATGTTTCGCTGATCGATCGATCGTTTCTCCCGTTTCATTTGTGCCATTGTTCTTGATCTGTCGTCGATCATCATTATCATCATCATCACCATCATTGTTATCGTTATCGGCATTATCATCAACGTTATCATCATCATCATCATTGTTTATTATTTGTGATCACCATTATCATCATCATCATCGGTCGACTGATCTTTCGGTCGTTTTGGTAGTCTGCTATTTTAGTTGATAGTGGTGGAGAGTAGTAGTAATAGTAGCAGTAGTAGTAGTAGTAGTAGTAGTAGTAGTAATAGTAGCAGTAGTAGTAGTAG